GACGGATGAAAATCGTTGTACTACAGCCGTTTAGCTTTTATATTATATTCATGTTGACGCAGTCCACGAGAATTCCTCCCTTGTTTCGGGTGAAAACGTGCTGAGCCTTCGTCCATCATATGATGGATATCTGAAGGAATAAATTTAGTATGTGGCAAACCTGGTTTGCTAATTAGAGTATACAAGCTTTGCATTAGTTTCCACTAGCAAATTGCTTGACCTCTATTGCACAGCCATTAAATATAGTTACTTTCTCATAGTGTGAGTCAGATAAAGTTACTTTGGAGTTTCAAGGCTTTGTTATTAAGCCCGACGCAATGAAATGAGAACGTAGCAACTATTAGCTTTTAAAATTCACCGTATTTCTCCTTTCCAAAAGAATAATTATTTAAGGCATAGTGCCTATTGGACGTGAAAAAAAGCCCGCTTCAAATATTCCAAGTGGAATCTAATTACCACTTCAAATCATGTTGCTTATTCCTTTGAATCTGTATGTACAAGCATATTAATCCAAAAGTCAATTTTATCTTTATAGGTTTATTTATTAAAACTGCCATTCAGACATTTTTGTGCTCAAAGCTATCAGTAACATTTTATTAGAGCCATGGAGACTATAGATTTACCGATAATTTATGGCACTTAAAAATTTATTTGCCCTGTTTGGTTATCCAACTACATTTTAATATATGGAATTAAGCGAAACTTTTATACATTTGGGGGTTAAGAAGTTAAAAATGAAGTTAGATTAAATAGGTTCAGATGACAAATCTTCCATGAATATTTATTGGGATCATTTGCGTTAAGACGCAAAGACTTGTATATTATCCCACTCAACTCATTTATACTATACGCAATTAAGAACCTCGATTTATAAAACAATATAAATTTCAACTCATTTAAAGGATCTAATAAAGTATCGGATAGTTATTTATTCAAATTCTCTAGCCCAGCCCAAATTAATAGCCTTCAAAATAGTTAAGGAAAAGGATTCCAAATAAAGTTTGTTTCTGGACTTTGTAGAGTACCATAGCGATTCTAGCGCATCATAGTTAATGAGCCGACTAATTTAACAAATTTAAACAAATTAAATCTCGATCATAGAGTAATATACTATAAGCATGGAATCCGATTTCTTAAAGAATATAAACCAAATGATATGTAAACAATACCATGGCTTAGTGTCTTACCTCATAGGGAAAAAGGTGTTCTGAATAAATATAATTATGACTAGATCAGGATTACTAAAAGCGTCCTATCAACAAATAAATTAGGGTACTGGGGCTCTTTAATTTGTATATATCATTTTGCTTTATATACTTTAATATTTACCAGCTGCATCATTTTCCTCCGTCTATTTCTGCTTAAATCTCTCTCAATGCGAAATCATTGGCCCAGTCAGCAACCGTATATGGCCAGGTATTACTTCGGCCTGGAATTCACCAGAAGGTACGCGCTCACCATCCACGGAGATGAGACCCTGTTCCCCGATTGGACTCAGACGAAAGGCATAGACAGGGAGTATTGAAATACTATCAGAGGTGCGTAGCCCTTGGCCAGACTCGAGTTCGTCAAATAGGCGAAGCATCGTTCCCCTAAAATGAAATTCTCATACTGGAGTCATTTTCTAAGAGTAGAAGCACCTTCAGTAAATAATCCTAATGGATAAACAAAATAATACTCTTCACTGGTCCTATAATCCGATATCAAAGCAGATTCTATAATGTCAGCTTTTTCTGATTAAATGAAGGAAAATACAAATATAATATATATTCCTTGCATGGTAAAAAGAAGTGGAGTTGTTAAGCTGTTACTAAGAGATTTTAATGGTAAAGAAAGATTATGACAAGAGGACTATTTGTGCTTAAAGAGCAACTTAAGCTAATTAAGAAATAGTGAGTAAATAAATAAAACAATGTGATATTTCTTAAGAATGTATTCAAATTAAGGACATCATTGGTTATTATTTGCTGGAAGTGACGGAATGAATACACTTTCCCAATTCATGAGTAAATTAGAAAGAATAAATATTGATCTAGGTAAGCACATATTTTTTATCTCTTGTCATGCAATTCTATTAATAATCTGGTAAAATTTGGAAAAAATTACTATACTCGTATTTAAAAAGCGGGAACCCTACATTTATTCTATTTGAATCTTTAGTGAACGTATAAAATACAGGCTATTTAATCGCAGCGTATTTAAAATTTTCAGGATATTTCATGCTATATGTTACTAAAAGTGAGAACTTGTGAAATGAAAGCCGAAGTTATTTTCGCTGAATAGGAATGAGTCTCCACACTATCGTTATCTGACGATATTGATATAA